CAACCCTCTCGCCTCATCTGCGCCAATTGGGAGCGTTCCTGAGCCAACAACAGGTGCATCAGGGCTGGGTTTGTGCACTCCCCGACGAGACGACATAAAAAGTTGCCATGGACACAATTGGCATCTGTCATTGGTAGATCTACCCATGACGGAGCCCTGCCAGAACACATTGGTTTGCACAACCACTTATGGAGGGCCTTTTCCCCACTTCTCTCTGGCTTTACTTATCAAGGTGCTGCCCAGTGGCTGCTGAGAGCAATGCCGTAGTAGTTAGCTACCTGCTGTTATTGGCGTGCATGTTAAGGTGGACAGACATGCGAAACGCTGTGCCTATGAGCATGTTGGCGGTAGAGGTTACCTTTCTTTGCACCTGTTTGCTCCGGGGCGGATGACGATGAAGTTTCGCTCCTCATTCTCTCCCTTGTTCCCTCATTCCCACACACCCAATTCTCTTTCCTGGACAGGTACCAATATCCTCAATACCCTATCCGGAACCAATTCCAATCTTCATCTCTGTGCTCGTCGGCGTCCCCTCTTGCTCTCTCATCCTTCCCATCCTTCCCTGCCCCCGTTGTTGAGTGTGTCTTTAACTTTATGCTCCATTCCATTTGACCTCGTTCCCCACCTCGACTGGACAAGGGTTCGCTGTCTGTGTGCAAACATCGATCTCTGCCCGTACATCTCCTGTTCCAACGACATCCGACACCTTACCAAGTCTTACTGTCATCGGAGCCTTACCATCAAAGTAGCTCCCGGCTCTCTGCATCCACTTTGTCTGGCCGGCCTCCGGCATTCTCCACCTCGTTCGTCTGTTTGCCGTTTCTGGCCACCCGACATCAGTCTTCATCAGCCTGTTTGCCGCCTGTGCTGGCGTCTGGCGTTCACCACGTGCTGCTTGCTCCCTGCCCGTGAACAAGTATTATCCCCAATATCCGTCCTTACTCGGGACATGGTTTTCTCTCTTCTCTCTTCTATCACGCCTGAGAGTTCTTGTTAGCCAGCACACATTGCTACCTCGGAGAGACACTCGCTTTTGTTGAAGCTTTTCACGTCGACATGGCGGATTCAGGACGTGGGGGCCGCGGCCAGGGCCGAGGAGGTCGCGGCGGTGGTGATCGCGGTGGTCGCGGTGGTGGTGGTGGCGATCGTGGTGGACGTGGTGGTAGCTTCCGTGGAGATCGCGGTGGTGGTGGAGGTGGCTTCCGTGGAGATCGCGGCGGCCGTGGCGGCAGTTTCGGCGGCGGAGGCAGAGGTGGTGATCGTGGTGGACGTGGTGGTGGTAGAGGAGGTCGCGGCGGTTTTGCTCCTCGCCGTGATGCGTTCGAAGGCGAAGCTTGCACCTTCTACGGGTACGTTGGACGTCTTTCAGCTCTATCTCAGTAACCAACACCTCTCAGACAAGGCTCCACCATCCGCCAGCCTGATGCCGATATCACCAAGCTCGAGGACAAGATCATCCAGAGTCACCAGTCTAAGGACCAGGCCCTCATCAAGAAGATGAGTAGCATGAAGCTCGCCGATTCCAGCTCGGCCTCCCTGATGCCCCGCCGCCCTGCCTACGGTACCAAAGGCAAGCAGATCATCGTCTGGGCAAACTACTTCCGCCTGATCGTCAACCCCATGGTGCTGTACCGGTACAACCTCGAAGTCCGCAAGGGCGAGAAAGAGGACGCTCCGCCCGAAGAATCGCAGGTCAAGGCCAAGGGCAAGGGCAAGCCTCCGGCTGGCTCTGGCGATGGCGCTCCTGCTGCCATTCCTGCTCGGAAGCTCAAAGTCATTCTGCAGTACGCTCTTGCAGAGCTCAGGAAGCTTGAGCCCGACGCCGTTTTCGCAACCGAGTTCAAGTCCCAGCTCGTCTGCCTCAACAAGTTGAAGCTCGTTAAGAACCCCATCATCGTCAAGTTCAAGAACGAGAACTCCAGCCGTGAGGAGTTGTACAACGTCAAGGTCGTCGGCGAGACAGAGGCTCCGTTGGCTGCCATGGTCCAGTACCTCCAGACCATGGTCGATACGAGCGACCCAGACGAAGTGCACTTCCCCCGGTTCGCGACCTCCATGGATGCCCTTGGTGTCATTCTCGGCTACACCCCACGGCTGAACGACCAGGTCACTGCTATTGGCAAGGGCCGGTTCTTCCCGTGGGGTCCCGGTTCCGCCACGGCACAGCTCGGCTCCCAGGATCCCCTCACAGCCATCAGAGGTTTCTTCCAGAGTGTTCGTCTCGGCACCGGCCGCACCCTCTTGAACGTCAATGTCACCCACGGTGTGTTCAAGACCGATGTCCGGATCAGCGACCTTTGCAAGTGGTTTGGCGTTGACGTCTTCGGCACCGGTAATGTCCGCGCCCACAACGAAGCCAGAGGAACTCTGCGCACCTTGTCCAAGTTCCTCGCAAGGACTCGCGTGACCATCGAATTCCGCACCGGTGACGGGAAGAACGTTATCGCCAAGAAGGCGATCCAGGGTCTCGCGTGCAAGCACGACCTCTCCAGGCCCCCTATCGACAGCACCGTCTTCTTCACCAAAGACTTTGCCTACGGTGGCCCCTCGGAGGTCAAGTTCCAGCTGGAGCCTGAGGAGGGCCAGACTACGGTCATGGGCAATAAGCCGCCTGGTGCCTATTCAGTTGGGCAGTATTGGCAGTGGAAGTACAAACAGGCTCCCGACAACACCTTGCCGCTAGTCAACCTCGGCACGGCCGCCAAGCCCATGTTCTTCCCTGCCGAGCGGTGCACCATCGTTGCGGGTCAGGCTGTTCGTTCCAAGCTTACCGGTGACGAGACTACCATGATGCTCGACTTTGCCTGCCGCTCTCCTTTTGCCAACGCCATCTCCCTCGAGCGTGACAGCGCAGCGGCCTTGGGCTTTGACGAGCCGATCCTGCAGCAGTTTGGTCTGTCGGTTGACAAGAGGCTCTTATCTGTCATCGGTCGTGAGCTGATGCCTCCAATCGTCACCTACGGCAATGCCAAGACTCTCCAGGCTCGCAGTGGTTCTTGGAACATGAGTGGCGTCAAGTTTGCCAAGGCAGGCCCCCGGATCACTAACTGGAACTGGGTCCGCATCGTTGACACTGGAAACCCCAGGATCTCTACCGACGAGGTCGCAGAATCCGTTCGGCAATTCGTGGCATTTCTGAACACCAGTGGAGTTGCCATTGACACTCAGGCTCCAAACACCGCTCACCAGATTAATGTAGGTCGCGGCAATGCCACTGAGGACATCAGGAGAGCCTTCGCGGCTATCGACGCCCACACTAAGAAGGATAAGGGTACCACCAAGAACTTCTTCCTGCTTGTGATCCTGCCAAGGCAGGACACCGCCATCTATAGCGCCGTCAAGTCTCTCGCCGACACCCAGTTCGGTTTCCACACCGTGTGCTCCGTGGAGAAGACGTTCCTCAAGAACAACCCCCAGACTTTCGCCAACATTGGTCTCAAGTGGAACCTGAAGAATGGTGGCAACAATCACCTGGTCAAAGACACAAGCGACATCATCACTTCGGGCAAGACCATGATTGTTGGGTACGACGTCACTCACCCGACCAACATGCCTAACGATAAGAATGCCGCGCCTAGTCTTGTCGGCATGGTTGCCAGCGTTGACAGGGACCTCGGACAGTGGCCGGCCGTTGCGTGGGAGCAGGGTGCTCGCCAGGAGATGCTTGGCGAGGAGCTTGTCGAGCATTTCAAGTCTCGCTTGGTCTTGTGGCGCTCGCGCAACCAGGGCAAGCTTCCCGAATTCATCCTCATCTACCGCGACGGTGTCTCTGAGGGCCAATTCACCCAAGTTCTCACTATCGAGCTGCCCATGATTCGCAAGGCGTGTGCCCAGCTCTACCCGTCCGGACAGCGCCCTAAGCTATCCATCATCGTGTCCGTCAAGCGCCACCAGACGCGTTTCTATCCTTCTTCTGACCAGAACATGGACCAGAAGTCGCGCAACATCAAGAGCGGCACAATTGTCGACCGCGGCGTCACTCAAGCTCGTTACTGGGACTTCTTCCTGACGGCTCACACGGCTCTCAAGGGCACTGCTCGCCCTGCTCACTACACTGTGCTCATGGACGAGATCTTCAGGGAGAAGTACGGTGTCGGCACCGCGGCGGCAGACCAGCTGGAGAAGCTCACGCACAACCTGTGCTACCTCTTCGGCCGTGCCACCAAGGCGGTCAGCATTTGCCCGCCGGCCTACTACGCAGACATTGTCTGCGACCGAGCCCGTGTCCACCGTCCGGATCTCTTTGATGTTTCGGACGTAGCATCGACAGCCACGGGCGTGTCCCACGGCACCACGCCTTCGAACGTGATCCAGGTTCACCCCAACCTGCGGGACACTATGTATTACATTTGACGAGGATCATGAATTAGGAGCGCTGAGTTCGATCAGCGATTGGACACGATGAAAAGCGATTGATAGCAACGTTTTGGACTAGGTTTTACACAAAATGGATATCATGGAGTGTAGGGTAGTCACATAGCATACACTGGTAGAGAAAATACAGCAGCGTTTTGCCTGGAACTCGACAGCTCAATCGTGTCACGGCGAGGTCGGTGGTTTCGGCCGAGCCCGGGGTTGAAGCCGGACCGGGGCCGGTGCAATTTCATTGGCTTCACATTGACGTCAGTGGGGTGCGGGAGGGGGTCCCAGCATGAGGGGCAGAGCTGCTACGGCGGGGTAGGAGCTGTTACTGTGCTGACAAAATAGCAGTGACGAGACACTGGAGCTTTTGAGGAGTTCGTCATGCACTTTTTTATGTCCGAAGAAAGGCCCCATCTTTGAAGCTTCCATCTCCGAGCTTGTTTGAGCTGCATCCCACAACCCACTTCACCAGCTTATATGAACTCCTCCAGAGCACTTCAAAGACTTAAGCTTATTCAAAACACCCTCATTGCCAAGCCCCTTGGTAAGAACCCTGTCTGGTCTCTGTCGCAAGCGTCATCTTGTTCCCTCTGACCTTATCTTACCCACGCGCAGGACGAACCAATCAATTCGCAACCATGGCTGCCACGACGGACGTCAAGAACTACAAGTTCAATCACTCGATGTGAGCCTTGCATCCTCAATTGTCTGCCAGCCTGAAGATCTGACCGAGTGCCAGGATTCGAGTGAAGGACCCCAAGCGCTCGGGTACGCACTCATAGTCTGTCCTCGTGTCTCTAACCCGCTAATGGCCCCCTTAAGTCAAGTTCTACGAGACGCTCGGCATGTCCGTCATCAAGGAGATCAAGCAGCCGGAGGCCAAGTTCGACCTCTACTTCCTGGCCTACGACTCTCCCAAGGCCGCCTCCGCGGGCAACAGCACCTTTGACCGCGAGGGCATCATCGAGCTCACGCACAACTACGGCACCGAGGACGACGCCGAGTACAAGATCAACAACGGCAACACGGAACCCCACCGCGGCTTCGGGCACACGTGCATCAGCGTCGACAACATCCAGGCCGCGTGCCAGCGCCTCGAGGACGCCGGGTACGCGTTCAAGAAGAAGCTGACCGACGGCAGGATGCGCCACATTGCGTTCGTTCTGGACCCGGATGAGTACTGGGTTGAGATTATCGGACAGAAGCCGATTGAGGAGACGGAGAGCATCAAGACGACCGATGTCACTACCTACAGAATGGTACGCGGGAGCTGCGATTTGGGGAAGAGCTGGCGCTGACGAATGACAGAACCACACCATGCTCCGCGTCAAGGATTACGAGAAGTCTCTCAAGTTCTACCAGGAGGTCCTGGGCATGACTCTGATCCGCAAGAACGAGGCCAGCGACTTCACGCTCTTCTTCCTGGCCTACGGCGACCTGAAGGAGGGCGAGAGCCAGGCGCAGCGCGAGGGTATCCTCGAGCTCACCTGGAACCACGGCACCGAGAAGGACGAGAGCTTCAGCTACCACAACGGCAACGACCAGCCTCAGGGCTTCGGCCACATCTGTGAGTCACGGCGGAACATGATGACGTATCAGGAATGAAGGCTAACACGAGCTAGGCGTCACTGTCGACAACATCGATGCCGCCTGCGCCCGCTTCGAGGACTTGAAGTGCAACTGGAAGAAGCGTCTCACCGACGGCCGCATGAAGAACGTCGCTTTCCTGCTTGACCCCGACAACTACTGGGTCGAGGTTGTGCAGAATGAGAGGTTCGCTGGCAAGGAGAACTTCTAAATCTACGACTTTCGAGCCACGAAATTGCGACGTTAGGGGTTGTGTCTTGCGGGTGCGGGATTGGCGTTCAGTGAGAGACAACGGGCGGGCGGATGAGCGATTGCATGGGTGAGGCGTGAAAAAAGTCAAGGTTGTCTTCTGAGCCGTTCCAGGCGTGTAGCGTACCTAGGTCGTACTCATTCGGAGGACACAGAATCCCGGAAAGAGGCCATCGTAAGCAAATTAAATCAAGCAATCACTCATCTGTGCGGTTCACATTCCAAATCGCAGTGAGCTGAAGGGGTGGCGATGCTGAAGGATGCTGTGAGGATGAGCTGTGACCATTGCCCGCAATGGCATCATGATGGAATCCCTCACTGATTCCACGCTGTGGCGCCAGAGTGCATCCCGTGTGGCGGTGACACCCCGCCAAAAATCGTTGACGCAACACCATCCCGAGGTGGCCACAGGCCCTGTAAAGCCGCCCCGTCCCAGCATCCCGGGCCTCCGATTTGTCACTGCCTCCCCTCATTGGAACATCATCCCGTCTTCAAACTGCACCCTCACCCTTCGCGCATAAAACCTCACCAAGACCCCCACCACCGCTCGCATTCTTGCTCCTAGTCAAGCTTAAACTTACTCACTCACCAGAATCTCAAACACCTGGTGATAGTTCTGAAATTAGCAACTACACATTTGTGAGAGTCTTTGCAAATGCGATTCTCACCCTTCATCTCAACCATTGTCTACACCTTCTCCAGCCTCACCCGTCCCCGCGTCGTTTCCGCCGCCGCCTCATCGGTGCAGCAACCGTTCGTCACCCGCCCGCTGCGCGCTTCTATGCCGAGTATCCCCTTCCTTGGAGCTCTGTTCGGGTCGTCTTCGCAGGATAAGATGTCGTATCCCGATAAGAGGACCGATGACGAGTGGAGGGCTGTTTTGAACAAGGGTACGCCAACTTCTCTGATTGTCTCAACGACTCACTCCACATGAGATCACATCACTAACCCTCACCCCAAAGAACAATTCCGCATCCTCCGCCAAAAGGGCACGGAGGCCCCCGGCTCCGGCACCTTCGACAAGCACTACCCCTCGGAGGGCGTCTACGCCTGCGCGGGGTGCTCGGCGCCGCTGTACAAGGCCAACCACAAGTTCAAGTCGGGCTGCGGGTGGCCGGCGTACTTCGACTCGATCCCCGGCGCCGTCGTGCGCCACGAGGACCGCACGCTCGGCATGGCGCGCACCGAGATTGTGTGCGCCAACTGCGGCGGCCACCTGGGCCACGTGTTCAAGGGCGAGGGCTTCGACACACCCACCGATGAGAGGCACTGCGTGAACAGCGTCAGCCTGACGTTTTCGGCGGAGGATAAGGGGGAGGGTGCGGCGGAGGGCGGCAAGGTTGAGAGCAAGGCTTGAGTTTGAGTGATGGTGTTTGGGTGCTTTGGGGTGTACGGGAGTTGATGAGAGGGTGGGTGGTGTTGTGATTATAGCTTGTTCAGGGGCGTCGGTGTGTGTGGACAGATTGCATGGAAAGAAGAATTTTTTAAGAAAGTCAACACGTAAAGCTCATTGCAGGCTCCATAGGACATGTTCATGTTGCAAGACTTCAAATTCTGAATGAATTACGTCTATTGTAGAACATGAGGTCTACTTTCATTTCAACGCACTGTATCTAAGTCTATCGTGAATACGTTTCTCGTATAGCGTGCAATCGTAACAATCGTGACGTGAGCTCCTGCAAATCCATTATGTCCTCGTCAAATTCTCCCATCATAAACGCTGTCTGGCATGGGACAAAATTCGTTTCCTCCACACATCGCTGCAGCCAGCTTCGCCAGTGGGATATCCATAGCCCCTGGGCCGTAGCGGGCGACGGCTTCATGGCATGACTGCCTGTTTCTCTGCAGCATCTCTGCAATCACCCGCTGCAGTGTTTCGGGGCGTGGGTCTTTGCACCATTTGTCGTAACCGTCGTCGCCAAAAAGGTTTGTTTTCCACAGGAGCGTCGACTTCGCGACGAACAAAGCTGTGTCATCAACACGGGGCGGTTGCTGTGTTTCTGCTGGAATGCTCTCTTGAACAAGTGGGCTTGTATATTGCGTAGAAATCTCCTCATTCCCTGCGAGATCATTGCTAAGAGTTTCCACGATGTCGTCGGCCCGGAATTCATCTCCATTGATTGAAACTGGTTTGAGAGTCTTACGCTGAAATCCCTGGGAGGCTGGAGTGGGCATCCTAGGAAGCGGGATTGGAGTTGTTGAGATGCGCCTAGATGGCACATCAGACTTCTGCTTCTTGGAGGCGGCATCTTCCACTTCATTTTCGAGATTTCTCTTTGTGGTCCTCAAAGTGATTTTTGTTTGCTTCTTTTCAGCCGGAGTGTTCCTTCCGGATGCTGGTAGCACTGGCGGCTTCGACCGATCGGTGATCATGGTGCTGCTCCTGATGCCAATGTCGGCATTCGAATCGAGACTTTGGTCTGCGACTTGAGACTGGGTCGGCTTTACTGAGGCTGACCGTCGGAAGGGGAGTTTTCGAGGTGGAGGAAGACCCTCCAAAGGATCAGTAGTCATAGGTCGTGGCCGACTAGAAAGGAATTCCTCGACAGACGTAAGACCACCGCTGCCGGAGCTGAGCTCTTGACTCAAAGCGTGCCCGGATTGCGACGATGACTGAGATTGAACGGAGGCTTGGCGATGAGGCGGTTGAGAAAAGTAGCCAGAGGAGGCTTGACTAGCTACAGGAGCGACTGATGTGGCTCTACTCTCGTTGATCCTTGAGAGGGTACTGCTTGGTCTTTGTGCCAACCGAGATGGGGGGTGAGCACGAGAGGGAGGCCGCGTATGCCCGGCGATGTGGCTATGACCAATTGCAGGCCTGCTGCTGCTGATATATGACCCTGAAGATACAAGGGCTACGCTGCTCTGACGAGAGTATCTATGGTCTATGGCCGACCTTGGCCTGGCATCGGAGGGGGCTTCGCTCATGCCTCTGTGAAACGGTCTGGGCTGAGATGCCGCCAAGCGGCCAGAGAATGGCTCCGGACGTCTGAACACTGGTTGAGAAGTGCGTGGTGCCTGCTGAAGTGCTCTTGGAGGTAGGTTCAGATCCCCAAAGTCCTTCAAAACGTGGTCGAAGTCTGCAGGAATCTTGAAAACCAAGCAAACTTGGGTCTGCGTTGGGGTGTCGTCCTGACCAAGGTTAGTCCTTCTGTGTTATAATTGTCACTGTCTCTAGTTTCTTCCGGCATCGTCGTCGTCCTTACTCACCTCTATCGTTTCCCATCGGATGACAAGACGCAATGCGTGGTCGTCACGGCACAGCATGTAGTTGCGGTCTGGGAGCCTGGACCCATCGAAGCTCCCAAAATTGAGCTTCTACAGGCTTCTCAGCATGGAAAACCTCCAGTGGACCTTTCAGCTTACCAGTGAGCCCCCATGCTTGGGTACAACAAGTACATAATCCCTCTGTTGAGGGGAAGGCTTGTGCAACAGGCTCTGGCTGGAAAGCAGCTCCTCCAACTTCACCCCCAAGATGCAGTTGCCTTGGTCAGATGAGGTAATCCATTGGGGGGATATATGAGAGACCCTTTTCATAACCAGGGAGCGGCTTAGGCCAAACTCCCAGCGCAGCGCCTGGGGAGGCATGTCCGGCGATGTCCACGGATGGGGAGGACGACGACAGCGTAGAGAAAGAACAAGGACGACAACAAAGGCAGGGAACGATGAAGAAAAGTGACTGGCGGAGGGGGAAATAAGAAAGTTGAAAGATAAGAGCAATGGTTGGGAAAGAAAGAGCGAGCATGACTTACACCAGATCTCCAAGCCTAGGGCAATAGCTACCTACCTTAGCTGCAGGGGTCCTTCCCCATCAGTCAAACAGGATCGTGGGGCAGGCAAGTGCAGCGCTAACCCCACTGGGGAAAGCATAGGTAGTCCACCCGCTGCGGTCTTATCAGAGAGCTCTGAGTCACGTGATGATAAGCCCAGCAGCGACAGGGATTTTTCCAACGTCCAGTCTGTCGCGAAAACACGGTTGGTTTGGTTGGTTCCAGTCTCCGGCGCATCACCGACCGATCGCAAAGGGCCCCGAACCTGCGCGACAGCACCACCAACCCCTCTCCCATCGTGTGTTGCATTTTCAAAAAAAAAGCCCCACAATCGGCACCTGCACTTCAACTAAACCTGCGTAGTTCAACTGCCGAAACACGAAACGAGCGCGTTTGCGACAGCTTCTGGAACCTTGAGGCTCTCCTGCAGCCTGTCCTGGATCTCCACACGAAGGAACCCCAAGACTTTCACACAGCTAGTTAGCCACCTGAATTTCTCACGATTGTAGAACATTCTAACCATTCTTTGACAGGTTCCATCCCGCGAAGTCGACAATGGCACCCTCGAGAGAACCGGAGAAGGAACCCGAAGTTCCCCTTCACTCCATCAGCCGAACACCAGAGTACGAGGATTTCATGAACAAGCTGAAAGCATACCACAATGAGCGCGGCACTACTCTTGAGGCTGAGCCTAAAGTCGGGCCGGTCTATCTCGATCTGTTCAAGACATACACCCACATCTGCGAGAATGGCGGTTACGACAAGGTCTCCGATGAAAAGCTGGCCTGGCGGAGGATGGCAGAACAGTTGGGCATTCACTCTTCCAACGTTGCGTCGACTGCCTTTTCCCTGAAAGAAAAGTACTATAAGAATCTTGCTGCCTATGAAATCAAGTTTCATCATGGCAAAGAGCCTCCCCCAAAGGACATCTTGGAGGATGTGTCAGCCAAGGGTGGAGGTCTGTTGATGCGTACAAGGGAGAACTTCCGCGGCAAGCGCGAAAGCGGCACTGTTGGAGACTCTGCGGCGGCCTCTGGCGACGATGCCACCCCTTCTCGAGAGCGGCCGACCCCAGACGCCCCCGCTCCTTCAAGCGTCAGAGCCTCCCGAGGTTTACGTGAAGCCCCCCCTCAGAGAGTCATCTTCCAGCCGGACACCGGCCCGTCTAGGCCGACGCGCCATGCTTCCGGTC